GGGATTGATAAAATTGAGATTGAGTAATGATGTAGGAATGAGTGTTGGGATAAAATTTAGAATCTATTTATTAAAAAAAAAATTGAGTTGGGAGTTGCGTAGATTAGTACGAGCACAGGATTAAAGCTGGTCAAGGAGATGCCTCCCAGTCGGATTTGGCAGTGCCGACTAGAGAAGGGCCGTTAGATTAGTCCGAGCACGGGATTAAAGCTGTCAAGGAGTTGCCTCCCAGTCGGATTTGGCAGTTCCGACTAGAGGAGGGCCAATAGATTGTGATCCGCGCGCTTCTTCGAACGGTTAGGATAGGATAGAATGTGTTTGTTTAGTGGAGTTAGGCAGGAGTGTTAAATTGTAGATCTGACACATTATTGAATTATTTTACATATATGGTTGGCGACAATATTAATTGATTAAATTATATCTGATAAAATTTATCTAATTATATTTATCTGATTAAATTTGATATTATTGAAATTATCTTATTGAATTTTATCTGATTAAATTTATCTGATTATATTTATTTGATTAAATTTTATTTGATTATATTTTATCTGATAAGTTTTTCTAATTAAATTTATCTCATGGAATTTATGTGAAAAAAAACTCGAGATACAATGAAAAAGAGAACAAATATTTCATTAGTAATTGAATGCAAAACAAAAAATCCAACAAGGTATACATTACAATATTACTCATTTCCTCTCCCTGTAGCACGCAAATCCATTTCATTAGTAAATCGAGTTCTCAGTGGGCTACCGGCTCGAGCCGATCTGTTGTTTGTGGGCGGGAGAAGTGTTTGCGGTGTTTCTGCCATGAAATTGACGTAATTATTTATAGGCATAATATCGGAAGTGTACGTTCGGATGTACGCATTTAACGAATACACAGCTGGGATGAGGCCGTCTACGGTTATTTTTAAAAACCGACAAACCGCATACGCGTGAACACATGGCAACCCATTCAGCTTCCAATACCCGCACCCACATTCCTGCCTTGTCAGATCGATTGTCACTGGATCATGCGAACTAATAGCTACAGAGTAAATTCCTGTTGTTCGATTGTGCGGGACAATAGTTGTGTGATACCTACGATGTGACCGCTCAAGAACAGCCCTCCATATGTTCTGTGGATACAAGAATCCAGTTTGGTGCCACATTATTCCCGCATTTCGTCGATCGGCAAATAGTTGGACGACTTTATCGAATGTGGCCTTTACTAGTGCTGTGATAGGCAATGTGCGACATCCCTTTAAGACATTGTTAAAACTTTCAGAAAGGTTTGTCGTCAAAATGTCATATCTTTTGCCATCGTCATAGCTCAGGGCCCACATCTCAACAGAAATCTCATTCAAATATAAAAAGGCACTCTCATTTATGCCTCGTATTTGTTCCATATAGTCGTGAAATTCCTGTTCTGTGGGAGTGCTACCAGCTTGCCAACATAATTTTTTCAGTTCCGCATTTCTAAACTTGGTCATGAAATTACTCCGTATGTGACGGAGGCAATAACACTTTGAAACTTGTGGCGATCTCAACTCTGGCAAGGATCTAAATGCACTTTCAATTCCTGCATGACGATCAGAGATAACGCACACACTACGATGACTTCCAACCACATCACGTATAACCCTTGCAAAGAACCACGACCAACTGTCATCATTCTCACTCTCAAAAACAACATATGCAAGAGGAAATATCTCACGATTAGCGTTCATGGCTACCGCAACTAGAAGAACCCCTTTGTATTTGCTATATAAGTGAGTGCCATCAACCGTGACTACAGGTAAGCAAAATCTGAAACCGTCTATAGAAGCTTTGAATGACCAGAACACTCGGCAGAATTCAGACGTATCAGGAGTGCCGGCCTGTTGTGATTGCAAATGAACAACAGTCCCCAGATTTGAAAACCGTATAGCTTCCAACAACATCGGAAGTTCATTATATGACGCCTCCCAATTGCCGAATTTACGCTCCATAGCGATCAAGCGTCCATTCCAAGCTTTTTTATATGATACATGGATATCAAAATTTTCATATATGTCTGACATTATCAGTTTAATGCTGTAGTCCGGATCGACTTTCACTTTTGGAGCGATTTCACTCGCTATGATCTTGGCCGTTAGGATCCTATCATCTCGATCCGTGACATGATCCTCCCTATAACTGTGATGGGGTTGATATTTTTTTACTTTCCACTTATTTGACGTCATAGCTTCTACTGCTCCCTACATGTCACGGCTCGAGATGATAGGATCCTAACGGCCAAGATCATAGCGAGTGAAATCGCTCCAAAAGTGAAAGTCAACCCGGACTACAGCATTAAACTGATAATGTCAGACATATATGAAAATTTTGATATCCATGTTTCATATAAAAAAGCTTGGAATGGACGCCTGATCGCTGTGGAAGGTAAATTCGGCAATTGGGAGGCGTCATATAATGAACTTCCAATGTTGTTAGAAGCTATACGGTTTTCAAATCCGGGGACTGTTGTTCATTTGCAATCACAACAGGCTGGCACCCCTGATACGTCTGAATTCTGCCGAGTGTTCTGGTCATTCAAAGCTTCTATAGACGGTTTCAGATTTTGCTTACCCGTAGTCTCGGTTGATGGCACTCACTTATATGGCAAATACAAGAGGGTTCTTCTAGTTGCGGTAGCCATGAACGCTAATCGTGAAATATTTCCTCTTGCATATGTTGTTGTTGAGAGTGAGAATGCTGACAGTTGGTCGTGGTTCTTTGCAAGGGTTATGCGTGATGTGGTTGGAAGTCATCGTAGTGTGTGCATTATCTCCGATCGTCATGCAGGAATTGAAAGTGCATTTAGATCCTTGCCAGAGTTGAGATCGCCACAAGTTTCAAAGTGTTATTGCCTCTGTCACATACGGAGTAATTTCATGACCAAGTTTAGAAACGCGGAACTGAAAAAATTATGTTGGCAAGCTGGTAGCACTCCCACAGAATAGGAATTTCACGACTGTATGGAACAAATACGAGGCATAAATGAGAGTGCCTTTTTATATTTGAATGAGATTCCTGTTGAGATGTGGGCCCTGAGCTATGACGATGGCAAAAGATATGACATTTTGACGACAAACCTTTCTGAAAGTTTTAACAATGTCTTAAAGGGATGCCGCACATTGCCTATCACAGCACTAGTAAAGGCCACATTCGATAAAGTCGTCCAACTATTTGCCGATCGACGAAATGCGGGAATAATGTGGCACCAAGCTGGATTCTTGTATCCATAGAACATATGAAGGGCTGTTCTTGAGCGGTCACAGCGTAGGTATCACACAACTATTGCCCCGCACAATCGAACAACGGGAATTTACTCTGTAGCTATTAGTTCGCATGATCGAGTGACAAACGATCTGACAAGGTAGGAATGTGGGTGCGGGTATTGGAAGCAGAATGGGCTGCCACGTGTTCACACGGATGCGGTTTGTCGATTTTTAAAAATAATCGTAGACGGCCTCATCCCAGATGTGTATTCGTTAAATGCGTACATCCGAACGTACGCTTCAGATATTATGCCTATTAATAATTACGTCAATGTCATGGCAGAAACACCGCATACACTTCTCCCGCCCACAAACAACAGATCGGCTCGCGCCGGTAGGCCACAGAGAACTCGATTTACTAATGAAATGGATTTGCGTGCTACAGGGAGAGGAAATGAGTAATATTGTAATGTATACCTTGTTGGATTTTTTGTTTTGCATCCAATTACTAATGAAATATTTGTTCTCTTTTTCATTGTATGTGAAGTTTTTGTTCACATAAATTCCATGAGATAAATTTAATTAGAAAAACTTATCAGATAAAATATAATCAGATAAAATGTAATCGAATAAATATAATCAGATAAATTTAATCAGATAAAATTTAATAAGATAATTTCAATAAGATCAAATTTAACCAGATAAATATAATCAGATAAATTTTATCAAATATAATTTAATCAATTAATTCAATAATGTCACCAATTAATTCAAAATTAATTCAATAATTTTACAGGTATTGTCGCCAACCATATGTGTAAAATAATTCAATAATGTGTCGGATCTACAATTTAATACTCCTGCCTAACTCCACTAGACAAACACATTCTATCCTATCCTAACCGTTCGAAGAAGCGGGCGGATCACCATCTAACGGTCCTCCTCAAGTTGGAACTGCCAAATCCGATTGTGAGGCAACTCCTTGACAGCTTTAATCCTGTGCTCGGACTAATCTAATGGCCCTCCTCCAATCGGAACTGCCAAATCCGACCGAGAGGCATCTCCTTGACCAGCTTTAATCCCGTGCTCGTACTAATCTATGCAACTCCCAACTCAATTTTTTTTTAAGTAGATTCTAAATTTTATCCCAACACTCATTCCTACATCATTACTCAATCTCAATTTTATCAATCCCAAGCAAGAGTACTCACTACCAAATCAAACAATTGGGATCAGCCAAATTTGCAGGTTTGTTAATTTTCTATTTTAGGAGTGTAGAAGTAGTTAATTTAGTAATTTCTAAATTTTTAATTTAGATTGTGAAATTGGACTTTTAAAGTAAAATTTAGCTATAAAATATTTGAAACTTAGAAAGTGTGTTACATTTAGAATTTGCCTTAAATTTCAGTTTTAGGAGTGTAGAAGTAGTTAATTTTGTAATTTGTAAATTTTTAATTTAGATTGTGAAATTGGAATTACTCTTTAATTTTAATTTTTATTATTCATAATAGTTGAAATTACTATAAAAATTACTAGTAAAAATTACTATAATAATTGGACTTTTACTCATTAATTTCGAAATTACTAGTTATTTTGGTAACTTTTAAGATTTTAATTTTAGATTGTGAATGTAGAGTTGACCTTAGCTATAAAAATCTACAAATTTTAAAATTGTGTTACATTTAGAATTTGAGTTCAAAACCTATGAATTTATAAATTGTGTTCAATTTAGATTTAGAGTTCAATTTCGAATTTAGTAATTTATAACTACTTATTTCAGGAATTTCAAATGGACCAAAACATTCCGCGCCCAGGGCCTGTTAACCGTTCACTACTCACGTTGCCACTGCGTGCCTATCGTGCAGACCGTGTATGGTATGAACCAAATTCCAAAGACTCGTGCTTGAAATGCGTCAATTGCCTTTCAGCTGCATTCGAAGACGAAGAGCGAGATGAAAGAGCGATAGATATGTTAGCATATGCTGGGTTCTTGGGGGTAGAGCACATTGCCCGTATGAAGGTGGATCATAGTTTAATATGCGCTTTGGTGGAGAGATGAAGGCCGGAGACACATACTTTCCATCTTCCATTCGGTGAGGTCGGCATTAGTCTACAAGATGTGGCGATGATCCTTGGTTTGCTCATTCGGGGTATGCCCCTCAGTGGTCCAACCATTAAGGGTAAGGCTCAGTGGATCGACCTATGCACGCACTCGTGTGGTTTCACTCCTCTAGAGACTGATATGCGCACGAGTGATATCACCATGAGTGATGTTACCCGTAACCCGATCCTACCTGACAGTACACACGAAGAGGTCACCGAACGCACCAGGACCCTAATATGACAATTGCTTGGAGGGTTTTTGTTCCCTGACACTAGTGGGACAAGAATACGATTATACTTTTTGGAGGTCTTGCGGGGTGACTTGGCTTTAGCCCGTCGATGGAGTTGGGGATCAGCGGTTCTCGGGTACCTCTACCATAATTTGTGCAACGGCGCCAAATGGGAAACCAAACAAGTTGGCGGTTGTATGCACTTGTTACAGATTTGGGCTTGGTCGAGGATTTCAATGGTCCATCCCTCAGTACTTCAGATCATTCAACATGACCATCTTCCATATGGGTGCAGGTATGGTTGCAATTACATCTTAATAATTGAGAATGCTTTATATGACGTTACATTTTTTAACTTCATATCGGTAATCAATAAATGTAGGTGGATCGTCCCCAAGTCATATAAGGGATCCCCAAGACACTGCATACGCTTGTACCGGGATGACCTAGACCGCATGAGTGAGAGTCAGGTAGTACTTGAAAATTTTACTTCAACCGTACTATTCAATTTTCAATACACATTGTTTTATAGTTCTTAAATTGCAAATTAAACTTTTTACAGTTTGATTTCATTCCCTACGCGTCCGAGACACTCCCACCTCTCATCCTTAATGACGCTCCGCTTTGGTCGGCTAGGGTCATGCTCATATTTTGCATTATGGCCGAAATGCATTACCCCGATCGATTTCTTCGGCAGTTCCATATAAGGCAAGATACTCTGAATGCTCCTTTGACGGGTACTGATAATCACGACAATCGTTCCAACATAGTAACCGGTGTCTTGGCGATGTGGGCGGCCATACAACATAATATATACTTTCTTGATTATGATCGACATATGTCCCTCGAAGCAACTTATAGGTACCGAAAATGGTACAAGAAGCATGGTATGACACGTGTCCAGAACCCTTCTCACAATGTTCCCACGATAAGCTACACCCCGACAGCACACGATTGGGGTATTGTGGTAAGTTTTTGAATACATACCGTATTCGTTGACATATATCGTGTCATATTATTTACACGTGTTACATTTTTATGCAGAACCAAGGCGTTCACGAGGTGTATCAACTCTTAGCCGACCGCGTGAGTTATGAGGACTGTCAAAAACGACTACGGCGGATGGCCCTGGACGTAGGTGATGAAGAGATGCTCCACCGGGGCATATTCCATTATGAAGATGAAGATGAAGGTGGAAGTGACGAAGAGGATGATGCAGATGAACATGAAGGTGGGGGTGAACACTGACAATCGCCCCCTCAATTCTCAACAAAGGGTGTCTCATTTGATCAACCACCCCCTCAATTCTCAACGCATCAAGGTGTCTCATTTGATCAACCACCGCCGTATTATGATTCTTATCAGTGCTCCACACAAGCGGGTGATTATGTTGAGTCATTTCTGAATTCGTAGTTTTATTATGGAGACACAACGGGGCCTTGGAACACTGGCATTGGGGACGGAGCAGGGCCGAGCACGCAACGTTAGATGTAGTATTAAATTTAATATTGTATGTATTGTCTATTCATTAATAAATTACATTGAAAACTACATTTGTTTTGTTCACTTCCATTAAAATTACAAAAATTGCACTTAAAACAAAATCAAGACATGATGAAGTCTCCCAAGGCTTCCACAAGTAAAATGGGCTCTACTATGAAATCCAAACTGGACAAATATTGGGGAGACCCAGAGAAAATGAATTTTCTGATCTTTTTTGCAAATGTGCTTGACCCAAGGGACAAGTTTGAATACATGCCTTTTCAACTGAATGCCCTTTATACAGAACCAAAGGGTGTGAAGTTCTTTAAAAGTATCAAGCTTGCTTTGCATGAGTTATATAATGATTGTGTGTCCAACTACTCTGATTCTGGTACTGGAAGCATGATTTCAAGCTCAACTCCCTCTCAAACACAATTAGAGACTGTGTCTGCAAGACCTATCTCCAAATTGAAAGCCTAGCTAAAAAAACAGAAGTTTGAGAATGGGCAGTTGGGTTTGAAACAAAGTGAGTTGGAACTGTACTTGAGTGAGGCCATAATTGAAGAGGATACAGATTTTGACATCTTAAGGTGGTGGAAGTTAAATAGTGAGAGGTTTCCTATCCTCTCAAAAATGGCTAGAGATATTCTTGCTGTTCCAATCTCTACTGTTGCTTCTGAGTCCACTTTTAGTACTAATGGTAGAGTGTTGGACTGTTTCAGAAGTTCATTAAGTCCAAAAATTGTGGAAGCTTTAATCTGAACCCAAGATTGGCTAAGAAATCAAAGCCACCCTATCTCAGTTGAAGAAAATATAGATGAAGTGCAAAGGCTGGAAACAGGTCAATTTAAACTTCTTCATTTTTGTTTTACATTTTATGTACTTCATATGTTTTCTTTGATATTAAACAGGCTGGTTTGTTATTTTTTTTTGCAGAATTAATTGATGGTAGTGTTAATGGTGGTCCTGATGGCTATGTTGGTGGATCTTTGCAGGATCCTATTGCAGTAAAAATACTGCTTTTTTTACTTATTTATTGTTGAGCATTATATATGACTGATTTTGTTGGCAGGTTTGATTCTGAATCACTGAATTGTACATGAATGATGGAAGCAGTAAACATAGTTAAGACTGGTAACAAAAGCTTATTGCCCATTTGCCCCTTGTGAAGTTATAATGAATGGTAACACAAGCTTATTCTCCTTTAATCATTTAAATCATTTCTTGATTGATGGGCTAATGGCTATGATGAAGCTTCCACAATAAACTGATTTTGTATGGGTTGGTGTTGTTTTAAGTGATGGCTAGGTAACTATAGTTGCCGCCATTTACTTCAAATCTGTATGCCCCCATATAAATTTTGAATGTGAAAATAAGCTACCTGAGCTTATGCCCCTTGTGAACTGTGTAATGGTAATACATCTATACCTGTTTATTCTCCCTTTATCATTTCAATCATTGTCTTGGCAATGATGAAGCTTCCACAACAAACTGATTTGTCGTGGGTTGGTGTTCTGTTAAGTTATGTCTAGGTAACTATAGTTGCCGTCATTTACTTGATATAGTATGCCCCCATACAAAATATGAACTGAAAATAAGCAATCTGAGCCAATATTTATGCATCAGTGTGATAATCTTGTTTTAAACAATACTATTTGTTTAGATGTTTGACATACTTGTATTTTTATAGGTTCAAGTTTGAAGGCAGTATGAAGAAGTGCAGACCTGAAGAAGGAATTGAATGGGATTGGCTGCTTGCGAAGTGTTTTTGTATTTTTGCTTTTATTACTTTGCATGTCAAAAACTTGTATAATTGCACAATTAGTAATCTAGTACTGTGGTACAGATTGTATATTTTGTTATGTGTTACTTGTTAAACATTAAAACTTGGTTAGCCATTAGCCAACTTATCAGGTTATGAACTTGTATGTTCATAAAAACTGTTAATTTATGAACTGGGTCTGGGAAATCCCCTTATATTTGTAATTTCTGTTTATCCTGTATAAATTTCAACCAGTTGTGAAAAGAAATTAAGTTTTAGTAGTTAAGTAATATTTTTTGAATATCCGAAATATCAGATATCCGACCCATACCTGAAAGCAACCGAACTTCAAAATATCCGAAATTTTTACACTTAAATATTTATGGGTAGGGTTACAGAATTTAACCCCGATACCCGAACGGGTTTACGATTTAAGAACCCGACCCGCCCGAACCCGACCCGTGCTCTCCCCTATTTGTTGGAGGCCGCAAGTCAGAGGGATGGTTCGAGTGTTCTGGCTATGACAAGAGTGTTTTTTATTGTGCTTTGTTTGCAACTTCAATAATTGTTGCTTTTATTTTGATGTTTGTTTCTTTGTTTACGTTCCAGTTTGTAAGACCGTTTTTGGCTTTGTGTTTCCCAATAATGGATCAGCGAATTTTATAGTTGTCAGATTTCTTTCTGTCTTTTGACCCATACTCTGAAAAATTATTGGTTATTAATATAAACCGAATTCTTCCAAAAAAACGAAATTCAACACACATAAAAACTTCAACCCATTCCATGTGCCATTCGACCTACTCAGTCCCACCCATTCAACAACTCGTTGGGAATTCCCATTTCAGAATAAGAAAAACAAAAAAAAAATCTTGATGATCACAATATCCATTGGAGATAAGGTACATATATACCCCTATAGTATAGGTGTAGGAACAAATATACTCCTTTTCTATTTTTCGGAATATATATACCCTTGAATTTTGAAAAAGGTGTAAAAATATCCCTCATGTTTTCATAAAGGAGCAAATTAATCCTTATTAACTTTAACGTAATAAAATAAATTTCCAAAAACACCAAAAAAATTAAAAATTCGAAATGAAAATATAAACAAAAAATTAAATATTAAATATTTTCAGCATAAAATATTGTTTCAAAATTTTACTATATATTTAAGATTCTTTCGAAAATGTGCTAACATATGTGTTGCAATGTAGAAAAATTATTTTTGCATTTTTTGCACTATAAAATTACATATTTTGTATGATGATAAATAGCCCAAAATTACAAAATAGTGAATTTATATACTAAAAATATTTAATTGTGATACAAAAACAAAAAGGGAGAATTGGACACAATTACATTTTTTTTAATTTTTTTATATTTTAATTTCGAATTTTTAATTTTTTGGTGTTTTTTGAAATTTATTTTATTAATTTAAAGTCAATAAGGATTAATTTGTTCCTTTATAAGAACATGAGAGATATTTTTGCACCTTTTTCAAAGTTCAGGGGTATATTTTTTCCAAAAAATAGAACACAGGTATATTTGTCCCTGCACCTGTACTATAGGGGTATATATGTACCTTTTCCCTATCCATTGAAGCCATTTTATTGGGAATGCGCATTTCCATCGACATTTTCCACGTATTTATTATTTGTTATTATTATTTTAAGGTAAAAATAAATATGACTAGTTACTAGAGTAGTAATGAAATCATAGTAATTCATGTTCAAGTTTTGAACTTAAGTTACCACAACACTACGTTGTAGTAATGAATAGTCATATTTGTGTAAATAAGTTTTATTTTAGTAATATTTTTGTAAAAAACCCAATAAAATATCTGGAACTTTTCCAAAGTGTGAAACTGTGAATACCTGTTAAATGTCCCACACTGGAAAAGTTTGGATAAACAAAGTGCTATATTAACACATGAGTTACTCCTCCTATCAGGTTGACCTTTTAGGATGGAACTTCGTGTCTTAACATGGTATCAGAGTCAAATCGTCCATGGTGTGAGGCCCCTTATGAAAAATGATGACACGATTATAAAACGGTCAAATGAAAAAATGGACCGATGAAAAAAATGAATGATGACACGATCCAGACGAAGCGTCTGGTCGTGATGAGGGGTGTTAAATGTCCCACACCGGAAAAATTTGGATGAACAAGGTGCTATATTAACACATGAGTTACTCCTCATATCAGGTTACCTTTTAAGATGGAACCTTGTGTCTTAACCATACCCAACCATATACTTGTTTAGTGTAGAAATGCACCTCCCACTATATCAATTTGTGATATTCGTATCCCATCTTCTAATTGACAAGTACAATTTCTCAATTTAAAGATGATTGAACAGTTCCAATTGGCAAAATAGTTCAACGTTGGCTTAACCTTGAGAACTCATCTCTCAATCTCACCCACACATTTCTTCACTAGCAGCGACGAATGACTACAGAGCTGGACAACGACGAACGACTGTTGTAGTGCTCTCTGCTGTACTCAACAGTCGCAAAAGCTTGGAAGTTCCCTCGAAGAGGGTTTTGAATCCAGTACAGGTGCGGCTGCAGACGGGTTTTGTTGTTTTGGTAGGGACTGGGCATTGTTTTCGGGATAATGGTCAGTTTGGTCCTCGAAGTTGCAAAAAAGGGGTCAAATAAGAACTTATGTAGAAGATTCTGTCTGGACAGAATCTTCTATATAAGTACTTATTTGACGCCTTTTTTGCAACTTCGAGGACCAAACTGACCATTTACTCCATTGTTTTCTCTATTTTCTGTGATCTAAAGAGCTTGGAAGTTCCCTGGAAGAGGATTTTGAATCCTTGTTGTTTCTGTTCCAGATTTTGGAAGCGTAGTCAAACATTATTTCTTGAATTACAAAAGACGGAGTAATTAATCAGGCCAAAGTGTATAAATTTGCCAACTGAGATGATTCTTTTAATCTTTACAAACATTAAGGGTGTGGGCATCTTAAATATAGTGAGCGGGAGGTATTTTTTTTTAGGTAGATTCTATGGTACCCAAAAGGTACTGTACCTTTGTCCACATGGGCCAATCAGAATGTTGCAATTGAATTATTTAAGTCTAAATTAAAATTGATATACATATGTGGACCAATCAAGTGAATGGTAGGTACGGTACCCCATTTTTTAAATGGGTACAGGAGTTCTCACCATTTTTTTAAACAAGACAAGTATAGGGTGGGGATGTCACACTTAACCCGTTCACATGCCGATTCAAATAAAATTTATCAAATAAAATTCATCAAATAAGAGTAATCCACTGTATCAATCATGTACTCCCTCCATCCCAAAATGAGAGTCACATACTTTTTGGACTCAAAAATTAAGTAAGTGATTGAAAAAGTAAAAGTTGTGGTTGAGATTTATGTATGATAAAGTGAAATAATGTGGACCACATCTTTCTTTCCAAAAAGGGAAACATTACCATCATTTTGGGACAGCCCGAAAAGGAAATACGAGACTCTCATTTTGGGACTGAGGGAGTATTACATTTTTAATAGTGCATTATACTATTAATGTATCAGATAAACTTTAATCGAATAAAAATTCCTCAGATAAAATCCATCATATACGATTTCATCCAATGCACCTACACACTTTAAAATATGGAAAATGATTAGATTTATGAAATTATTATGCTACATATTTATTATTTCTTATTAATATTGTAATATTAAACTATTAACAATGTTAAACCATATGTTGAGCCTAGATATTCTGAGACACAACTTATTCTGAGACATAACATATTTATTAAGTTAATAAATATGTTATACGTTATTTTAGTATTTCATTTAGTAGTATAAAAATGAAATTTCTAACTGTTACGTATATCTACTTTGTACAACCACAAATATGTTGGAAGAGTCAGATGAAGAAGTTTCTAGTAGTGATGTTGATTCATTCATAAGCGATGACATCGACGAGACACTAGACACCACATGGGCTAATGTGGAACAAGTCAAACCATATGTTGAGCCTAGATATTCTGAGACAAATAAGTTGGCACCACATATAGTTCATATGACGTTCTAAAAGAAGTCGTGGCAAGAGATTTTTTTTGTCTATATCGATTTTCCCGATAAGTTGCCAAACGCGTGTGTACGTGTACCCGGACATATGCACATGGCATATCCAAGCAAGTGAAGCTCTGAGCTTACAAAAGTGGAAAGTGAAAAAATATCAACCCCATTATAGTTGTAGGCCAGATTCTGTCACAGTTCGGAATTTCAGTCCTGACGGCCAAGATCATATCAAGTGAGATCGCTCCAAAAGTGCATGCGCATCTATTGCATCAAACACATAATGCAAGATATCTACGAAAATATTCAAATACGAATTGGATAAAAACAACTTGGTATGGACCCTTGATCACCCTGAAGCATAAATTCAGAAATTGGGATTCGCCATATAATGAAGTCCCTAAGTTGCTTGAAGCAATAAGATTTTTCAAATCCAGGAAGTCTTGTTCAAATCCAAACACAACCGACCGACACTATCGGGATGTACGAATTTTGTCGAGCATTCTGGTCATTCAAAGCATCTATTGACGGTTTCCTTCACTGTTTACTTGTAGTCTCGGTTGACGGCACTCACTTGTACGACAAATACAAGGGTGTTCTATTAGTTGTGGTTGCCATTAACGCTAATCGTGAAATATTCTCTCTCGCATATGGTATTGTGGAGAGTGAGAATGTTGATAGCTGATCGTGGTTCTTGTAATGGGTTATGGCAGGTGTGGTCGGACGCCCGCGTGAAGTTTGAATAATATTTTATCGCCATGCCGGAATTGAAAGTGCACTTAAAACTATTCCACATTTGAATTCGTCACAAGTTTCAAAGAGTTATTGCTTCTGTCACATACGGAGCAATTTTATGAAGAAATTCAGAAACACAGAGTTGAAAAAGTTGTGCTGGCAAGCAGGTAGCACTGTGATCATGTTGGAATTTCATGAATATAAGCAACAAATAAGAAACATAAATGAGAGTGCCTTTGCATATTTGAGCGAGATTCATCCCGAAAGGTCGTCCCTGAGTTATGACGATGGACGACAATTTGGCATATTGACGACTCACCTTTCTAAAAGTTTTAATAATGTCTTAAAGGGATGCCGTACATTGCCTATCACTGCTCTTATTACCGCAACATTCGATAAAGAGGTCCATCTATTTGCAAATTAATGGAATGCTGGACAATCGTGGTATCAAGTTGGGTTCTTATATCCCCAAAACATATGGAAGGAGGTCCTGGAGCGGTCACA